CAGTTCAGATATCTGCTCTCACACTTACACTAGATTCACGAAATTCGTCTCTATCATAGATATATCTGGGATAATAATAAGTAGTAAGCCCCCGACAGACCAACAGTCTTCTTGAGATATCTTGCAAACGAAATCTTGACACATCAGTAAAGAATATGGACTCCATTGACATTTATTCCAATTAGCACGTATTTCTACCCAATTAAACATTTAATTTGTGTTAGGGAAGTACACAAAACGCTTGAAGCTTGCATGTAACTCTTCTTCCCTTATCGTGAAGTCTTCTGCGCACTTACTATAACAGCACAATCTGAATACTGGATGCATTACTTATTATATACCTTATAATGTATACTTTATTATGTAATATTCCTTATTATATTACTTACATAATATTATTCCTTAATATTCCTTACCAATACCTGCTGGATACTGGATAACAGCCTTCTAGTGGCTGTTACAAAATCTGAGGTGGTTGATACAGCAATTCTATTCTATCTTGCAATTAGCTGCAAATATCGGTCATCTGCTACTCTAGATCTTCCTCGGCTGTACCTTCTGGAAATTTATTATTTTCTTAGAAATATATTCTACAATCTATGAATTACAGAAGAACTTCCATTCAACCATCTTGCTACAAAGAATTAATTATAATCCGCTTTTGTTCTCTAGTGGTTCTCCATCGAAGTTACTCACATAAATAATGCCGAATACTCATATTTAAAACATTACTGTCTAGAAATTTCATTACTCAGTTGCTATTTGTAAAAGCTGCTGGCCCTTTTTAAACCCTATTTTCGGTCTCATGTCGAATAACAACAGTAAGGCTAATTTGCCTATCATATTCTGATTCCAGTCATTTTAGTAATTTTTAAGTGTATTACGTAATTTTTATGAAAATTTACTCATTTTTGAGTGTGTAATTGTAATTTTTCTTTAATTTTTGGAATTTTTTGATTACAATAGCAGATTATTTTGTTTTAATTCTCACAGTGATTTCTTGCTGGTTGAAAAGATTAAAATCGGAAAATAAATTTACCTTCTCAGAAGATTTAACCCAATATAAATAATCCAATTAAAACTATAGAAATATTTTTTTTAAATAATTGTAATAAATATAATGCTTAGTAAATCTTGGACTCTGCATTCTCATTGGCTGATCGAAAATACGAAAAATAAAATATAACAGCACATTTACCATAATGATTACCTAGGAAGTGAGAAAATCACGAAATTACTATTTTTCAAAGGAAATTACAATAATCATCCATAAAACTAGCTCACCTCTTGAAACCACAAATTTCCAACAATAATGCTTTCGACAACCTATGAGAGGAATAAGATGATTAATGACTTCAAATGCGTTAGTTCAGTAATTTCTAGTTTCAGTATTTTTCTTTGCAACTCTAGAGATATTTAATAATTAAATTCCAGTTTCCTTATCCGTCTTCCCGTTTAATTAATAAATGCCTATAATTCACTTTGTTTACCTCCATATGTTAAGGAATTTGCATTGTAACCAAACGTTTTTTTCCAAATATGTCTTTTAGATTATGTATGCATGTCATTTGTTTTCGATCATTCTGATATATTATGTCCTTATGCCACCTACCGAAAATCAGTAAGTCTAAAAAAATTAATTTAAATGACATCTATTTTATTGGCCTATGTCTCTTTACTTAAAAATTTCCATCATATGTGTGTGTGTGTCTGTGTGTGTGTGTGTCTGCGTGTGTGTGTGTGTGTCTGCGTGTGTGTGTTGTGTTTGTGTGTGTTTGTGAGAGAGAGACGGGGAGCGTTATTTTAGTAAAAATAAGTACTTGAATGCATAAGTTTATCACTTCATGAATATTAGTTAAATACTTCCCTATAAACTACATTAAGTGTCTTTCTTTAATTAGCATTACATTAAGTCAACGGCCGTACCATGCTGAATATACCGGTTCTCGTTAGATCACCGAAATCAAGCATCATTGGGCGCGGTCAGTACTTGGGTGGGTGACCACCTGGGAACACTGCGTGCCGTTGGCAAATTTGGGACCTGAATGGCCGAGTGTCTAGCGCTCTGGCGCTCGGTGTCACAGGTTTCGGGTTCGAATCCCGGCGGTGCCATGGATGTTTGTAGTGGTTCGGAATCCACTTTAAGCCGTAGGTCCCGGTCTTCTATGACTGTAAGAGCGTCACGGGGCCAAAGTCAGGCTTCTACCTACGGGGTGCTCCATCACAACAGAAGCTGCTTCCTTCCCCTTCAATCATGAGTCCATATGGGCTCGTGGGCTTGGCCAGCCAAGTGGGATAAGAAACAACAACAACAACAGCATTACATTTGTATTTAATCTCGCTCTAGATAATGAAACATATAATTGTCCATGTGAAAAACAGGGTAGTTGAAGATCTATTCCACTAATATTCATTGTTTGCCTATCCACGTTATTATTATTATAACCCTATTGAATGAAATAACTACTTTTACATTTCAAAAAAGCAAAACTTTTTAATTGAATCAAAGGACAGAAACATAACTAAAATAAATGATACGCATTCCGCACACAAAAAATTAACTATTGATAATGAAATGTATCCATATTTTTAATTGTATATTTAAGAAAATATCCACGCATATTGTAATAGATAATGGAAGTAAAAAATAGCTTTTATTTTGAGTGACTGTATCTTGGACACGTATAAAAGGTTTCATGTTAATCGCATACGTCCTTGGTGAGTTATAAAAGGACAAACAGACAAAGAAAGACAGAGCCTATAATATAGATTTATATAGTAGTATAGATTAATCTCGTCCTCTGCCACGAATAGCTTTCATTTACAAAAAAATTCAATTTAAAATAAACGCCTATTTTCTACGTGATTTTAATTATGTATTTTAAAATTCGCATCAAATATGTGTGGCTTAAACTGATGAATTACTAATATCATATCACGTGCTATGAATTTAATTTTGTATTGTTCTTATTTGGTTGGGTGGACAGGGTACCTTGGCTGAAAAGTAGCCAGAAACATGCTAAGAAGAAATGGATTTAGTTCGAGGCCCATGGAGTGAAGAAACAGTTGAAAATTTAAAAAATAAATAAAAGTGTCAGGAACAAAGCACGCCAGTAGAGGTAGGTTTCAATCAGTTATTGTAAAGTATGCGGATCTAATAGAACTAGTCAGACTTCTTGAATAGTCCAGAAAAGGAATTTTTCAACCTGGCCATTACAAAGTAATAAACTGTTGTAGACATTTTATATACCTCCAAAGGAGATAAAGATGATGGCAAAACGAAGAATGTCTTTTCAGTCATATCAACCTTCTCTTGGAGAGAAGGTTCGAAGCTGAGGTGTATGGGATTTCAACATCGCTGCAAAAGAAATTTGTGCGTTCATGGGCCTTAATATGTAGAATCTCCTTTCAGATATTTGTTTTCTTGGTACAGACTTGGAAGGTAGAGGCTTTGAGGAGAAAAGTTCCTGCAACCTTTTCTTATGGTAAGAAGAATCTTTCCCTTATGGAAAGTTCCTGCAACCTTTCCATGGGGGAATGTAACCCTTATAGCCGCAGTTGATACAAGTTGGGTTGTCAATCAACCCAATCAAAGAGCATTCCTTAAAGAAATGCTTGAAGCATCTTTTGCTAGATTCGTAATTACTACTTCCGTAATGGATGTAGTTGCACGAAATACACTGAGTTGCCCCAGATTTTCGATTATACTTCTCTACTCTCACTAAAAGGTAGAGCAGCATCTTGATTTCCCAAATTTTCATGTTGGGTTCGCTCCTGGGAAGTAAACTGCCAAACAGGAATTTACCCTATTCTTTATTTTCTATCAAGGTGACTCCTTGATATTGGAGAAGTTTTCCTTGAGGGCTTCATCAATTTCGGCTGCAGTTATAATAACCGGAAGGCCTCTAATGACTGTTTTAAGAGGCCTGCAACATTTAGGCGTCAGAGTAAAGTTATTTATTTTACATGAATTTATTTATTTATTATGAAAGATAAGGAAAGATAATATGGCATGTTGCTACGTCGAGGAGGGAGCAAAGCATTAGAGATAGTTATTAGAGAGCTTAATTGCTTGGATAATTTCTTTAACATCAGCATTAGCTAAAATTATGACCAGAGGCAATCTGACTCTTCAAATGTTTGTCAGTATATATCATGAAAACAAATATCACTTGGACATACCGCAAATATCCAAGGAATTCCTCATCATAATTTATTATTTTTATAGTTACATTGTAAATTATTGAAAATAGTTTATATATATTTCTAACTTTTTTACATAGTTTTTAATGTGTTTTAATGATTCCTGAATACCTATGCCAAATCAAAAACATCTATGTCAAAGTTAATAATTATTCTTGAAGTTTAAAATTAGCACCTTATTTCATGAATCACTTTACTTGAAGATGTCAATAAATTTTCAGAAATACATTTGAAAAGCTTATTTACTTCGAAGTTTTGTTGTTCTAGCTAACAAGAAAGGCGCAATGCACCAATGTTCAACTAAAATTAACATAAATTTTAATTCGTATTGCTTCTATTATTGTATAATTAGCATTGAATTTGCTGCCCATTGGATCTCGAGAGATGTATATGAGGAAAAATCATACTTTAAGATGAAATAAATTCAGGTTTATAATGCCAATCGATCCTGTCAGATCTGACTCTGACTTCAAATCATGAGGTTAAAAGTTTGTCTGAGTTTTATCATTTCGGTTATGTTGTTGTTGTTTCTTATCCCACTTGGCTGGCCCAGCCCACGAGCCCATACGTACTCATGGTTGAAGGGGAAGGAAGCAGCTTCTGTTGCGATGGAGCACCCGTAGGTAGAAGCCTGACTTTTGCTCCGTGACGCTCTTACAGTCATAGAAGACCGGGACCTACGGCTTAAAGTGGATTCCGAACCACTACAAACATCCATGGCATCGCCGGGATTCGAACCCGAAACCTGTGGCGCCAGAGCGCTAGACACTCGGCCATTCAGGTCCCAAAATTTTCCAACGGCACGCGGTGTTCCCAGGTGGTCACCCACCCAAGTACTGACCGCGCCCAATGATGCTTGACTTCGGTGATCTAACGAGAACCGGTATATTCAGCATGGTACGGCCGTTGGCCGTTCGGTTATAAAGCTAAGAATGAGAAAAATTAAACAGCGTAAATATACGTCCATTTTATTATAATGCAGTGATATTCAAGCTTAATTATTGCCTTTTCATTTTTAGCAAGCAAAAGTTGTCTCACCTTCTTGACCTTTTTCATAATTAAATATATCACAGCGAATTTGATGTTTTTTATTGATTGATGATTATTTTCATTATTACTACATGAATAGCTTTTAATACTAAAAATTAAATTATTCTGATTACTATCATACATCGGAGAAAATACAATATCAGCAAAAAGAAAGAAAAGGAACAAGAACGACCTTGAAAAATAAATTTCTCACATTCCACTAATGCAGTCATTTCAAAACTTTCAAACCATCTCTCTCGAGAAATTACAAGTGGTTTTTTTTTTTGTTAACATTTCACGCTTGCAAAGACTATTTCTCCCCAGTATGCAATAACAATGCATGAAAGCTATGTTAGTATGTCCAAAATGCATAAACCATATTAATTCCGAGCGTTAAAACATATTTGCATAACTTCTCGTTGAATTTTTATACTTCAGTTGCTATGCAACCACTCATTTGAATTTTCGAGCATCTCATATGACAAAAGTCTTGGAATTTCCATGCTGCTTGCTGTACTTTGCACTTTCTTTGCCCTTCAGTCGGTTGCTGTTAAATATACAAAAGCAAAAACCTTGACTTTGCTCTTTGTCTGTGCCATTCTAAATGCCGCACTGCAAAAAAAGGAAAAAAATCATTAGAATAGGACTGGTGGAGATCATGCTCCTCTAATGATGATGGGATTGTCTCAAGGTCCTTTTAAGTCTCTTAAAGTGAGAAATCAACCGTCCATAAATAGAGAGGAGACCTTCACGTTAATCTGTGATTTTTTACAAATGAATTATGCACGAAATGTTGCTATATATTGCGTCACTAAACAGTTACAGGCGCATTTATTTTGTTATATAATACACAGAATTCAATACATGCAACTGAGTAGAATCACAAAGCCATTATATATGAGCCTTTGATTAGAAATTTCTTTTTCCACTCTTGCCATATCTCTTATCTGAGAATTTCTATAGACTAAATTTGAACGTTGGAAATAGTTACTGATTAAATATTAATCATCAGGAAATAAAAAAAAAACGTTGATTAATTATCCAGATTTCTATAATAAGCCAATACAAAATTGTGAAGATTTGCTTTCAGTTTATACAAACAAATTACGCCAAACACGTTTAGTAGCATACAATATGTATTTTCTTGAATAATACAAATAAATTTTTTTTTTATATTTAAAAGATCTAATTATAAAAAGTTTGCGTTTCTATTCAATGTTTCTTCATTCTATGTTCATGTTTCTTCATTTGCGTTTCTATTCAATGTTTCTTCAATTATCAACAATAATCTAAACCCTAGTGTATAACAATCCACAATAATCTATCAATAATATCAATAATCTAATAATATCCACAATAATCTATCAATAATATCCATAATCTAATAATATCCACAATAATCTAAAACCCGTATATAAGGTGAGTAGTTAACGGTTTCTGTTTTTTTTTTTTCAAAATTTTCAGTTGATGAACCGTGTCAACTATACCCATATATAAGGTATCTAATTATAGTAAAATAGCAGTTTTACTATATTTAGATACCTTATACAAGATATACACTGCACACTATACGATGAGGTATTTTCCATAGTAAAGTCAGATCAGACCTCCTAGTCAGAGGCCTAGAAGGAGTTAAAGCTATAGGTTTGGTTTGGTTTGTCACTCTACGGTCCTTTTGTGCACAATTTAGGTTAATTACACAGACACCTACAGCTTAACGTGGATTACGAGACACTAATAAATATTCATGCCACCGAAAAGATTCGAAACTGAAGCCAGGGGTACTAACGGCCAGAGAGCTAGCCAGTTGGCCATCAGGTCACTAAAGTTGTAGGAGATATACTACTGTGCCCAAAAAGTAAGACCAGTTATTCTTTTTTATTTTCAAAAACACTTTATTTGTTCTTCCAAATTTATTTCATCGCCTTCAATGTAATACCCTCCATACACAATGCACTTATGCCAACTTTTTTTCTAATCCTCAATGCATGTTAAACAAATCATGGGCAGGGATGACCTTCAAAGCGAGCGAAGTGAGCTTCGTCGGTTGAAGTTGATAGTCGACCAGAGGACTCTTCGTCTTCTACGCGTTCTCTGCCTTCTTTGAACTGTTTATACCACTTCTAAACATTTCTTTCCCATATAGGAATGCCCACCGAATGCCTTCTGCAACACTCTATACGTTTAAACAAAATTTAATGCAAGTTCTTTGTTCAATTAATTCAGGCATTTATGAAATTGCCGGAATCAGTTTTAGCATCTCACAAAGCCAAGCGTAACTCAAACACTAATGAATATTTTGACGTCAAATTTCACACGGATGTCAAGGACATGGCCAGCAACCTAAAAAAGAAAAAACAATGGAAATTCCATAAGCTCCAGAAATTTTAAATCGAAAATTGTTTTTACTTTTTGGACACAGTACTAATTAAAATTTCAATGTGAAAGTTGCAGAGCATGATTGATTTAGTAAGAAAAGATATATTGTGTATACAAATACAGTAAATAGTCATCTCTATAACTCAAAATATCTGAAAGCAGTGCGAGAAGTTTTTTTTATGCAAAACGTGAATTTTCTCCGTAGCCAAAACAATAATTTTTTTATGTGTATATACCCTTTACAAATCAGAGAACAATTATATACAAATTTGACTTGCAATTTTTAACGTAAATAACAAATGATGAAATCTTACAGTTACAAACTTACTTATATCTGCAAATAAAAACGTTTCAACTTTAAAAAAAAAAATTCGTTAGAAATACCAAAATTAACAGTCGATTAGTAATTTGTGAGCTACTTTTTTTTTGTCCTTCCTGTTTCTGTATTAAAAGTTTTTTTTTTTTTTTTTTTTTTCATACAAACGTTTTCCGATTTGGAGGTTGAATTTGTATACTCTTAAAAAAAATTCTAGTTTCTCTATGGGAGAAAAAAAAAAAAAAAAAAAAATCACTCATCGATTTCAGATATTTTGAGCTGTAAAATATAAGTTATACATAAAACAGGGTAGTATTACACTAGAACCGAACAGAACATTACAGTCAAAGATTTTCCATATACAAATTTCCAATGTAAAGAAGCATGATCGACAGTAGCAACTGACTATCTACTGCAGCTGATCGTCAGGAATAATAGTTGGGCTGACATGTTCGTAGGCTGACACATAGATGGCGCTACTAGATTAATCCATGTGATTTTTAGTTAGCCCTAACCTTCAAAATACACGTGTATAAATTTGACAGCTGTTGCAATATTAGTATGTGAGTTACAGCATTTTTAGTGAAGAGCAACTTTTGTTAGTTTGAAAAAATGGATAAAAAGGAATTTCGTGTGTTAATTAAAGCATTGCTTTTTTGGCGAAAAAAAATACTATTGAAGCCAAGGCTTGACTTGATCAACATTATTCGGACTTTGCACCAGGAAAATCAACCGTAGAGAAGTGGTTTGCAAAATTTAAACGAGGCGAAAGGAGCACCGACGGCGATGCACGCAGTGGACGCCCCCAAAGAGGCTGTTACCGACGAAAACATCAAAAAAGTCCACAAAATAATTACTGATAACCGTAAAGCGAAGTTGATTGAGATAACTGAGACCCTAAAGATATCAAAGGAACATGTTGGACATATCGTGAATGAATATTTGGATATGCGAAAGCTCTGTTCAAAGTGGGTGCCGCGCAGAGCTCACAATCGACCCAAAACAACAACGAATGGATGATTCCAAGCAGTGTTTGGAACTTTTCAATCGTAATAAACCCGAATTTTTGCGTTGATATGTGACAATGGATGAAACATGGCTCCATCATTTCACACCGGAGTCCAATCGACAGTCAGCCGAGTGGACTGCACGTGATGAACACTAAAAATGCTATAACTCACATACTAATAGTGCAACAGTTGTCAAATTTGTACACGTGTCTTTTGAAGGTTAGGACTAACTAAAGTCATAGGGATTTAATACCAGTAGCGCCATCTATGTGTCAGCCTATGAACTTTTCAGTCCAGCCAACAGGGACAAACCGACACATTCTCAATACTTCAAACTCTTTCTGTGACACATGAATTCATTGGTGTACAAGATTCTCATCAACTGTATGAAAGACCTCATCACGAGAATCGAAGAAATCATGAGAATATTTCTTACAGCTGATTGGGTAATCACGACACTACGAATTTTCCCGAGGGGGGCACTCTTTCAAAGATTTCATGTGCCATTCCTTCCGCTGTACAAAATACTTGTAATGGAAAAACTATATTCGTTTAACGCATGAAATTTAGGAATAAAGTTTACGAAACGGATGAATCGATTATTTGTTTAAGGTGCTAGTCAGACAGGCGTGGCGAAAAATAATTCTCAAAGGAAAAAGTTCAATAGTTATTGTGAATTTTTTCATCTAATTTTTCGGTACTTACGTATTAACGACACCGCAGCAGAAGTTGCGCCAATAAAGAGCTGCCAATGCGCCAAAATAGAGATTGTTTTGAATCTATATTAAACTCTATATCGGCCCATTTTCCGCCGAAATCCGATTGACTACTTTGTTTTTAAATAAAGTGTTTTGAAAGTGTTTTGATTTTAAATAAAGTGTTTTATATATTTTATGATTTGTCACAAAAATTTTAAGTGTAGATTGGCGCCACTTAAAAACCGTCAAATCTGTAGCTGCGGTGGCGTTAATACGTAAGTATCAATTTTTCTTTTAGTTCTATCTTATTTAAAATTTTAATTATTAAAAATTATTTTTAGTGTTATTAAAACCCCACCGAAAATACTTTTCTCCCCTAGTACGCCGCTCTGTCTGAATGCATCCGACTTGGGCATTTTCGCGTCATATGAGGAAAGAGTTGGAAAACCCCCAGCAAGCACCCTATTTTCGATGCA